AACATTTATATTAATTTTAATAAAATAAATATTACCACTAAGTCCACAACTTGATTTTCTGTAAGGATATTAGTTATCTTACTTATTTTTTCATCTGCCGAGCGTTTAGAAGTACAGCAAGTTGCATCAAAATAACTAGTAATTTTCCTTTTATTAGACATAATAATGGTAAAAATGTAAAATAAACAATAGTCAATAATACAGACACGAGACACCGACTGTATAATTGAGTTAATAGACCAGAATAGTGTGACGTCATTATCTTTTATGATAACACGATGGGTTCCAAACAAACTGTTATCACAATTTGTCCCATAAGAAATACATGGCTAACTTAAAAAAATATATATTTCATTAATTCTTCTGTTTAAAAATTATTTCGTACAAGTTATAACTTAATTTGCTACCGTTGACTTTGACACGTTTTCAAATTTTCAAATTTTATATTTAAAAATATATAAAAATATATTTTTTAAAATGTCTTCTGGTTTCAAATTATATAGGATAGTTGAATTTATTAATGATCCTAAACTTTTGGCTAAAGGTGAAAATCATGTTGAGAGTGGTAATGTCCATACATGTAATTTTGTTCTGGGTGTGTTAACTGGCAGTGTTCATTCTAGCATGAAAAATAAAATGAATCATGTTGAGGTAATTTTTACAGATTATGAAAAAAATATTTTTAATTTTGGTTTTATTCAAAGTATTTTTTAATTTTAGATCCGCCTTAATAATGACATTATTAACTTTGCTAAGTGTACATGTGCTGTCGGACAAACGAAATGTAGTCATATGACAGCTTTATTACTGCATGCTCATAAAAATATATCTGTGACCGATAAAGAATGTGCGTGGCGCAAACCAAAATCTGCTTATGATGATAGAGCTTGTACGATAGATGAACTTTATCCTGATAAAATCAACAGTGTTATTAAGAAAATTAACTGTGACATTAAGCAGATGTGTTTTGATAAACTCAAGTCCAGTAATCATGTAGTAGGATTTACTTGGTTACTTACTCCAGAACCAAATGATTCGCTTAAAAACATTGTAATGAGTTTGCCCCCATTAGAATCGGTACTTTTTTCTGAAGAGTTTAGAAAAACATTAGATAAGAAACAATTTTTGTATAACTTTTTCAACCTCGATTTGACACAAATTAAAGAAATAGCTGCTCAAACTGTAGGACAGTCACAGACAATATAGGATTACTGCTAGCAATTTTTCCAGAGTTTTAAAGAGTGTCAAAAGAAATAAGTATCCGCCATCTCTTTTTAAAACACTTATAGGCAGTTATAACCTAGATTCTTTTAGGTATGTACAGTGGGGTAAAAATCATGAGAAGGTAGCTCTGAAAGAACTCGAAGAAAAATTAAATATTCATGTTCAGCCTACTGGTATATGGCTTCATTCAACGGGTCTCATAGGAGCTAGTCCTGATGGATTGGCCGTTTTAAATGGCAAACAATATTGCATTGAAATTAAATGTCCTTTTAAATATCGAAACCAAATTTTAGAACAATGCTTAACAGAACATACGGACTATATTTTAAAATTTAATTCTAATGACAAGGCATATGTATTGAATACTGAACATGAATATTTCAGCCAAATACAAGGACAAATATTTATGACTCAATCTGTTGGTTGTATTCTAGTTGTGTGGACTACTAAAAGTATTGTTGCTATTCAAATTGAAGCAAATGATGACTGGAAATGCAATATTGATATTTTATTAGATTTTTATCATAAACAATATGTATCTTGGTTGTTAAAATAAAGTTGATGCAACATCAAAATRACAAAATGATCAATTTAATTATTTTCAAACTAAATTTATTATTAATTTTGTTAAATATCAGACCACATATTACTTTAAACAAAATTATAAATATATTTCTAAAATAAATTTTGTTACAACAAACTAAAAAAATACATGCAATTACTTCAAAATTATTAAAAACTATTAATTTAGTCAAAGGTACATCTTTAGAAAAAAAAAAAAATATGATTTGTAAACTTATGTAAGTAGGTAGGTACCTATATGATTTAAATATCATTATGTTCTGGAGCTGATACAATAAACAAACTTTCTACTTCTCTAATAAGTGGATTTTGAAAATTGACTAATGATGCACAAAGTTGAAATACTATGGATGATTTTTTGTACAAAGATTTTGGAATATGACTCAAAATTTTGAATCCTTTTATTCGACTAATAGCTCTCTCGACATGAATTCTAGCTCGGGCAATAGTTTTTGTTCTTTCAACTTCACTAGGTGTAAATTGAGATGAAGTAAGAAAAGGAGGTATGTTTAAAGAAGCCCCGTTAGGTATAAGGTCTGATATAAGAAATCCTTTGTCTGCCAAAATTAGATCACCAGGCTCAAGTAAACTTAAAATTCCACAATGACTAACAATTTTTTTATCGGAAGTTGACCCTGGGTACAATTTACTGACAAATGTAATAACACCAATAGGTGCAACTCCAATAAGCCCTTTTAGTGTATTTTTATGTTTGTATGAACTGAAAGTAGCTCTCTGGTGATCTAATTGATGGGGAATATCACATGCTACTTCAGTACAGTCTATGGTTATCCTACAATTCTGAAAGCTTACAAAACAATTAGGCAGACAAAGCTTGTTTTTGCTTTGAGAAGGCACCGTTTTCATTAATTGATTGAATACAATTTCATGAAGTACAATAATAAATGTCAATATGATATTGCAAACTGTTGATTCACTTGTATTGAATCTAAAAGCCAGATCTTTGTTAAGTAAATTCAATCTAAGTTTGATAAAAGTCAATAAAATTTGATCTTTAATTGAAAAACATTCCACTTTCCAACTATTATAGTATTCAAAATCTACAACTCCACTTAAGTCAACAATTATGTCAAACATATCTTTAGAAATACCAGTGTAAAAAATAAAAATATCCTCATTTTCACAAATAGAGTGATAGCCAAATTTCTGATTTTTTAACAACTTGTTTTCTATTTTTAAATTTTCAATTGTTTGATTCAAAAAATTTATTTCAGAATCAGCCACAGCATTGCTTAAGTGAGTATTGGATACCACAGGTGAGTTGTTACTCAATATATGCTATGAATTATTTTGAGCAGATAATAAATCTGTATCACCATCACAGTTACTATTAGTGTCATWACACAAATCATCACTCACTAAGTTCTTCCTTTTCCTAAAAACAAATATTTATTGTTTTCAAAAAAATAGATGATACAACAATGATATGAATAAATAAATAAACACATATCAATTTATTAATGTACATTAATTTATTTTTTTATAATATAAGTTACAGTAAACATAAACATTCATAAAATAATATAATTTATAATATAAATAGTAAATACACTTAACATAAACAAATAAACATACACATCATATTAATATAAAAAATAAAATAGTAATGAAATTACAATCAACATAATAACAAATAAATTCAATAAATCAATTCACAACCATATACCCAATCAAGAAATGTAAACATAATAACTAACATTAAGACATACAACAATATTTAAAAACTAAAACHAATAATAATTACCAATTAAAATATGTAAGCCAGTTTACCATTGTCTCCACAAACATATTTTAAATCAATTTTTTATTAAATCTATGTAGGAACTAGTTCAAATGATTGTTTTTAGTAAATAACATGATAAGTATTTCCTTTAGAACTATTAACTACAACAAACACCACACATTAAACAAATAGTATAGTTTAGTAATTGTTAGCTTGTAACCAGTATTTGGTACAAATATCCAACGACAAAATATTCAATGATACAAAGTCAAGAAATTTAACAAATTTAATTATATTTTATTAGTTTTTTTTAATTTTTMTTTTTACTCCTAAAATAATAACAATAATTACTTAAAATTTGCACTGTTTAAATTTTGATTCTTATATATTTTTTCTTTGGATATTTTGACTGAGAGTTGTTAGCACCACGTTTATAGAACATGCTCAAATTTCTATGCCGAAACGGTGACATTAAATAAAATGTCCCATTTCGGTGAATTATATAATTAATAGAAATTGATATTTATAACATATATGAATACAGTGTAATTCAAAATAATGCATAATAATATTGAAAAAATCGCATGAGCTTAAAATTAGATTTATGCCAAAATACCTTTTAATTTTTTCTGGAGACCTAAAATCCATAAAAACTTTTTTATTCCATTCAAATATTGAAGGACCATTTTCTTTTAGTTTATCCTTAAAATGACAACTACATAAGCGGCTATTTACAGTCGGTGTTGAATCAGATCTCCTAAAATAAATTATACTGTAATAAGTTTTGAAATAWCATAGTCTATTCATGATTAATTGATACTTAAATAGGTATATATTAATATTATTATTTACTTTATTGTAAACATTACTTTATTTAATACTTACCTAATAATACTTTCCCAAGCTCTAAGTTCTTTTTTATCTGAAGGAAATCGAAAAAATGAACACTTGTCCTTCATAGAATTATGGGAACATAAAGGTGCCCAGCAATGAACCATAATTCTGAAATTTTTAACTTCTATAAATTTAAATAWGTGATAAAATTATGGAAGGAACAACTAATTTAAAAAATATATTATGGTCTATAAATGTGAGTTGTGAGTTGTGACCCACCTTGCTAGACTAAATTTTCAAGGCAAAACAATATTTAAACCCAGTGAAAATAGGTAATGTAACACGTTAATATATACTTACAAATGTGTACAAAATTATTTAATTATTTAAAATTAAGAATTAACCCTCTTATTGATTTATTTCTAGGTGGTAATGACGTCAAAAGTGTCTGAAATATAAAAGGTAATTATTTAAACATGAAAAAACTGCAGGCACCACTGCTAATAAACTATGGACTAACTTCAAATACTTCATGACTCAYACGGAAATGATAAATAAATTCTGATGGTGTATTCTTTAAAACAACTAAACTAATGTATGATTTGATTTTGGAACGACTTTCGAAATTACTTATTGCTCTATTGCGTTTAGTTTGTTGGAACCAATTATAAAAACAAATGTCATCAAGATCACTTTTTGGAGGAACTTCATCATAACCCAATACCAGCAACTTGCTAGCAATTGCTATAGAACTCGCCACTAATTCCATTTTGCAACTGTCGGCTGTCAAGATTTCCGAATATAAAAAATAAAACTGTAATATAAGTATCAGCCATCAGGTAATTTAATTTTTTTGTGAGTTTATACTTTATAGGTAATTTATATTTTATAATCAAAATATCAATAGTGATGCTATGATTGCGAGATATTTAATATTATTTGTGACATTTGTGTTTTAGTTTTCATCACAATCATGTTCATCATATTTTCTTATCACATCCATCACGCATACAGCAGCGCTGAATTATCGAAGGCAAGGTTATACTACCCGCACATAGCGGGAATTCAAAATCTTGAATTAATTGCATGCGTAGACACACGTGTTTGTCTTAAAAAATTTTTATTGTAATATAATATATTGTAAATTCAAATTTGTTGTTAATTGCTACATATATATAAAAGTTAAACTTTATGCGTATCTGGTGCAATTCAAAAATTGTATAATAATATATTAGTTGTTTAGATGTATACAGATAAGATTTTCAATACAATGGACGTATCTGAAGTCGTCAAAGTAAGTATTAAGTACCTATTGGCTATTTTGTTTCATTCAAAAATTTTGCATTKCAAAACTTAAATGTTAGAATCATTTTAGGATTGTTTTATTAATGAAGATTATTTTCAAAGCACAGATAGTATTTAACCTACCTATTTAGTACCAAGCCTAATTGAAGTGCCTCACATCGAAAATCCTCAAGATAATATTGATGTCAATGAACCAAGTAAATATTACTTGACCCTAAACCGTTCAAGTCCATACACATCAAATTCTTCACTTTAAACCTCGACACTAACGCATCAAAATTATGGAAAATATAAACCAATGGCATGGACTATTGAGGTATTTTAATAAAAATAACTGTTGTATGATACAGAGTTTAATATTTTATAAAATAATTCTGTTTTCTAGACAATTTTGGAACTTTTACATACATTCAATGATGGTCGTTTCGTTTTAGCCGACGCAAAAGCAAATAATAGCTCTTTATCCGATGATGGTCAAAATACACTTACAAAACTACTTATTAATTTTCTATTCCAAGATAATAGCAAGTAAGTGATATATTTTCTTGATTTAACATAAATGGTGTTCACTTGTTTTAAAAGTACCTACATATTTAAAATCAGATTTGATAGTTAGGTATGAAATATTATTCTTAATAAATCAACTCTTAAAATATTTAAAAAAATTAGTTAATTGTATGAACGTCATAACAGGTTTAGTCATAACAAATCAAAATAATATATTTTAAAACATACAATATAWGACACTCTCCCCACCTCACCACCACTGTATGTATTTGACATTAGTAAAAAAAAAAACAAAGCTTGTGCTTCGGGTGGGTGAGTTCAAAAACAGTCTGTTAAATATAGTATTTTAATACAAAATAATAATAATTACTTAAAAATGAACGCTTCATTTCTTAAAAGCAATATACAGTTTTTTAACATAATAAGAAAAGGGAAAATGCTTACAAATTAACATTATTTAGATTTATAGTGTATAAATAATTAATCAACGTGGATTTTGTTTTAAACTTATTGATAATGATATTTAATTTTCTACATAAATCCATTCCTACATTAACATGCAGTATCAAATTTTCCAAAATGTATGTTTATTTAGGTATATGAAATTTAAGTTACTTAATGTTCTTAATGTTGTATTATAAGTATGGACAGTATGGTGTGGTTTAAAAATAGTTATATCAGTTTTAAATAATATGAACGTATGATGTGTCAGTTATATTAGATAATATTTAATTCTAGCATTATAATATTATAACCTTTATTAATTTGTATTTTATAATTATAAAGAGTAGCTTTTTACAATAAATAATAAATAAGTATAAAACAGTTTTAATTTTATAATATTTTTAGAGATTCAGATTTATTTTTTCGCAAAATAGCAACATTAATTTATGAAGTATTTCCTAGCGAGCAAAAGGTATTTAGATTTTAGTTGAACCAATAGTTTGTATAGGTAGGTACATAATTTTTTTTCATAGTGTTTATTTCATATCGGCTGGAGAAGGCAATACTCATGCTAAAGGGAAATTGGTAGAGAGATGGAAGAATGTATCTCGTAGATTGCGTAGCATAGGTGCAATTGAATCCGATAAGAAAAAACTGAGTTCTACTACAGTTGATCTTGCATCACAAATATATCCTGGTAATTTCCAAGTATTATATAATATTATATATTTTTCTAATTCATTTTTATATTGTTTAGAAAATGTTGAAACCGCTAAAATCWGGCTTAGTCAAAATGGTTTATCGGCTAATTTTGTAGATATCAAAAGTAATTGGATAATTACTTACCAAATAAGAAAATTAGAAATATAAGGTATGGATAATAAATCTATAACTGATCGTCATCTCACAGATATTTTCAAAGCATGGCCAGTTTTGTGTAGCTCAAAAGGACATGACTTAGTAAGTTTTCCCTTGCTTAAATTGCTTTTAATAATCATTAAATAAATAAAGATAATTAGTATAAACTATAAAAAAATATTAACATTATAACTAATTTGACTATTTAATTTATTTGCATGACTGTTGGTACCCATAATATTAATTATGGTGTATACATTTTTTTTTTAAAGATTTCTGAAAATTTCAAACTTGAATATCCACAAATACATCATGAATGATCACGACCAATTGTGATTGGTCTGTGTATATTAAAAAATGGAAATTGTTTTCTGACACAATAGTTAGTTTACAACGGAATTCAGTTAAAGAAAATCATGCCAGAGAACTTTTAAAACACCTYGATGCTGCACAATTAAGAGGAAGTTAGTTTAAATAACCGAATTTCATCAAATAGGTTTAGTTAGGTATCTCTGCTATTATTCAATATTAATTTTAAAGGCTTATTAAAACTAAATATTTTATTTATTTTTCTGAATTTTTTCATTAGTTTTGTTTATTAAAACAAGTTTAACTTGTTCTCTTAAATTTCGCTTGATTTATTATCAATTTAATAATTATATTTATTATAATAATAAAAACTTAATAATTTCATAGCTACATGTATAATGTTTTTGGTAGGTACACCTACCTATTACATACTTAATAATGATTTTTACTAGATAGTAAATATTGTATTAACCAAGGTGTTAACTTTTTATTCATGGTGTTTTATATTTAGGTATTAAAACAGTTAATGTATTGAAACTTTTACTTATTCCATACTTGGTACCAACTAAAACTCAAATTAAAGAGACACAAAAAAAGTCTTGGAAGCCGTCATTATCAGAGTCTTCAGCAGCTTTTGCGGTTCATCTTACTGTATGTTCCTTATATTATGAAAATAATTCTTATCTCATAAATAAACAAAACTTCCCTGTTTTAACAGAACCTTACAGAACTTGAAGCTGAACTTGGCAGAAGAAGGCTAAAATATGTACAGTATGGAACAACAATACAACCTTTCATAGTTTTAGTTGGCGAAGACATATTTTCTGTTGAGTCAACATATGTCAGAGTTAATGACAACTGTTGGAATTTTGATTGTCCACTAAAAGCACTAAACGCTTGTTTTACAACATACAACGCCTTACATTGCACCTATCCACGTGAGTGTTATGAATCTTGGCTGATTTTAGAATTTCAACTTTATAATTTTACAACCATTTACGATCAAAAATCATCAATAATTACATCTCGAGTTACATCTGTATAAAGTAAAATGAACAGTTTAAAAAATACTCATTTGTAAATATTTAATTAATAATTTTTCAATTTATTTAGTATCAGTTTTTACTAAAATAAACTAATATAATAATTGTCTCTGTATTTAATATTTATTCTTATTTAAAAAGTTTTATTATTTCGTTTAGTACATCATGTACTATAAATGTTATTTATGTTTAAAAGATTTCCGGTCCATACCAAAGTTAATCGGCATATGATAATATATCATAATCTTGGTAATAATTCGTTTTATCTCTGTAAACAAAAATACTGTGCACGTGATTTCAGGGGTATAAATGAATTCAGACAGCATTTCAATAGAGAACATTTCCAAGTTACAGTAAATCAAAATGATGAACTCAGTTTTAGTAATATAATAACTGAATCCATTGTTGAATCTCTGGTAGTATTACCTGATAACTCATCAACTACATTTTCTGAACTCGATAGTACACCCTTAACAAATAATATTGAATCATATGAATTAATAGAGAAATCAGTAATTATAAATTATAACAGTAATTATAACTGACCTTGTTAATAATTATACTAAACAAGTATTAGACAATGAAAATAGAAGTATAAACTTATCTCCTTACGATGAAAATTTGAAAAGAAAAATATTACAATTTGTTACAAAATTAATGTCAAAACCTTATCTTACTAACTCATTGGTAAAATATGT